AAAAATAAGATGATTTAACCCAGCTCATCTATATTCATAATCGGAAATTCGAACATTTTTAAAAGTGGGATGTGTTTGACCATCTATTGATCATGTGTGACCGCTAGGGTACACTTCCAAGGAAATAACACAAATTTATAATAACTAAATCAATTAAACAAATTGAAATCACAAATGAATGCTACCAAACTTAACATTTTAACAATATCAATAAATAACGTTGCCAGATTTCCGAAAGTGGAAAACATGACAACCGTGACAACAGAGCATCAGGTTCAAATGTTCAAATACCAAGCATTTTTATATAATCAGGTCCAATATTTGTGAAATTTCTAAAAAAAAGGTCATCAGCTTGTATTTTTTGTAAATTAGGGTCTTTTAGCAGATTTTTATCTAAAAAAAAGGTCGTCACCTTATATAAATCCAGTTCCTCCTTTTTATTTACGGCTTTGAATATTAAAAAGCGTGGCATTTGCATAAAAAGAGTGGCATTTTTCTCAAAAGCGGGACATTTTCGTACTGTAGCGTTAAGCCTACAAGCAAGTAAAAAAGCATGGAAAATGCGCCTAAAGCGTCACGTCTGGTAACTAGGGTTGTCAACTTTGTGAATCAGAAATCCGGGCGAAAAGAAAAACAACAAATAGTAAAGAGTAACAAATAATTGTAATAACTAAAGATTATTCTAAAGTATGAAATTTTTCAATATTTTTGACCCGATATTTTTTTTGTAAAGTTGCATTTTTTTACACCGCAAACAGCTGGAAATACTTTTTTATTATCGATAAAATCATAAAACTCTAGGTACATATGTATTTTAAATTTATACACCCTTTTATTTTAGATTTGACATGAGTTGCATTAAGACGATTATGACTTTTTGAGCAAATTAAATAATCTTTTATTTCTTTGCCTAATTCATCCACACATTTTTCAAAAAAATTAACCCAAACGCATTTAGTTTAGTTATTTATTTGCTCGCAATAACTTCACGTAATTCTACTTTAATTATTATCAAACAGTTTTTCCTCATGCATTTATAGGCATGTTGAGAGAAGAACTTTTTTAATTCAACCCACTCAATTTCTTTATTCACAGTTCAAAGATCCGGGAGATTTTAGGTACATTCCTTGAGCCGGGAGATTTTGAAAATGAAATGCCTTTTTCCGGAAGAATCCCGGAATTTCGGAAGAGTTGACAATCCTACTGGCAATCCTAATGACTGACCAGTAACTTTTTTTGACCGCCCTTTAAAATAATTCAAGGCGTAAATTATAGAAAAAGAATGCTGAGATGAAATTCAACTTTGAAAAAATAATCAATCGTCAGCAAGGCACAATTAAGGTCCAAAAACGTTTAAAATTAATGTATCGACGTTTAACCACCTAAAATAATTTCCACCCAAAGCCCAGGCAGAGTTGATTCCAAAACCAAACACGGTTGGCAAAATCTACCAACTTTTTATACTTAATCTACACAAAAAACAATTCAGTTGTTTTTTATCTTCTTTCCCTAAAAAAAAATGTTCCTTGGTACACGGCCCTGCCCTAAAATATCCTGCTCTAATGGCATGCATTTTTAATAGGAAAATCTAGTTAGCCGGAATACCTACCTTTACCCTAACTTTAAACGTCATATCAGGATTATTCGTCAATTTAATGTCAGTTTAGTTTTTGTTTGAGTTTCATGTATGTTGTTTAGTTTATCAATGATAATAACAGGCAACATATTCTTATGGTGAACAAACTGATGGTTCTTGGATTTTGTGTAGGACGTGTAGGAAATTGTCGAAGAAACAAGAGAGTATACCAAATAAGATTTTCTGATCGTCAGGTGGCAAATTATATAAGACATTTGCAAGAAATTAAGGATGACTTCGTAAATATTGAAGATTTAAATCATTCACTGTGAATTTAAGTAATTCATAATCCACAGAGGAAGTTCTACATACCTTAGAAGAACATTCTGCAAAAGTACTTGTGATTTTTGAGGTCCCACAGGTAGGGAGCCTCTGTATAAGAAATGGATTTCCAATAAGTCTATCAATTGGCAACTGGTCAAATAATTAAAATTACCTACGTAAAATTGTATTTACGTCTCGGATTACTCGTATCACTTCTTAAGCCTTTTTTATCATTTTTAAACTCCCAAAGTAATGTTTCTCCACACTAAAGGTCATCGAAGCTATTACTTTTATCTCTACTGGACCATCGATGTTACTGACTGGTTACAATACCTAAGTTTTGACTTCCTCACTTGGATAAATTTTACCTCGCCTCTTCCTGTTTTTATCTTTATCTTTGTCAGTTATAAGCAGGTAGGATTAGGTTTGGCCTAGAAAACTGCGGCCTCTTGGGGCTATTGTATTCTCCTGCTTTCCCGTATTCAGGTACTATCTTTGGAATAGTCCTGTGCCTTTGGTTAGTTTTAAAAAAATTCCCTACCAAGTGTTCCTGGAGGGTTCTTTCTGGTTCTGGATGAAACGTCGCCTAGTAAGAGCTTCGCATTCGAAGATCACATGGTATGAGGTTTCTTCCTCTTCCATGTAGAGTCTACATGTAGTGGGATCATTGTGTAATCCCATCACATGAAGGTGTTTCAGCAAGCAGTGTCCTGTTAATAATCCCACAATGGTGGATATCTAAGGCCTTGCGAGTTGTAGTGCCTCAGTAGACATGCGTGGGTTTGGTCCCCTTAGCATGAGCTTACTGATTCTGTGTCCTCTTATCTGTTGCCAGTGAATTTGGTGTTTTGTGGTTATCCACCTGTTCACTGCCTGTCGAGCAGAGGTTTTGCTTATCCCCACATACAGGTTCGGGTCCTGTGAATGGTAGATCTGATCCCTCTTTGGCGAGTTCATCAGCCTTTTCATTTCCTTGGATACCATTGTGCCCACGCTAGTTTTACCTTGTTGTGGGTTGCCAGATCATTTAGTATTCCAAGGCAGTTCCAGACAAGCTTTGACTTGATTCTGTTTGAATCAAGAGCCTTTAAGGCTGCGTGGCTATCTGACATAATTAGGATGGTTTGTTTTTTGTACTTCCTTTTTAAATTCACTCGTACAGACAATTCGATTGCATGTATTTCAGCCTGAAATACAGTGGTATGTTTTCCCAGTGAGACGATGATGTCGCATTTGGGTTTAACTCCATGTACGCCACAGCCTGTTCCCTTGTTAGTTCTAGATCCATCCGTATACCATACATACGAGACGCTAAGCAAGTATTTATCTATTTACTTCGTTCCAGTTGCAGTTGACCTGGAAGAATTTGTTGAAGGTTAGGCGGGGTATCATGTGATCTTATCCCATGTTTAATATAGAATCATTTACTTCATGTGTTACTCTGGTATATTTTATATGTTTCAGTGGGTTCCAGTTGTTGGAGATTTCCAGTCTGTATGCACTCATTCTGGCCTTTTTATGACTAGGTCAAGGGGTGGGAGGTTTAGAATGATTTCCATAGAGGCTGTCGGTGCACTTTCCAGGGCTCCCGTAATACAAAAGCATGCCAGCCTTTGAACTCCTGAGAGGGTATTGAGGGGTATTTTCTGGTTTACTTTTGGCCACCAAACAACCGCTCCATAAGTTATCATGGGTCTTGTTATTGCCAAATATAGCCAGTGGACTATTTTTGGTTTTAATCCCCATGTTTTTCCAAATGCCCGTCTCCCTACAATGAGAGACATTTTAAATTTGTTGGTCACTTTTTGTAAGTGTTGGTTCCAAGTAAGTTAGCTATCTAGGATTAGACCCAGATATTTTACTTGATTCGTTTTGTTTAGCCTTCCTCCAAACAGAGTCGGAGTTACTAAAACCTCTAACCTTGTTTTCCGAGTAAAGGTTATGAGTTGTGCTTTGTCAGGGTTTACCAAGAGGTTTTCCCTAACGCACCACATTTCTGTCAGCCTAAGAGCTCTTTGTATGAGTTTAAAGACTGTGGTTTGATGTTTCCCTCGGATAAGGATGACTATGCCATCGGCATATCCTTGGGAGTACAGCCCTTAATTGTTCAATGTTTTCAGCAGTTCATCTGCCACTAGGTTCCACAGTAGAGGATAAAGGATTCCACCCTGTGGGCATCCTCAGTGGATAGTCACCTGCATGGTTTCACTGAACATTTGTATCTGTACTTGCCGTCCGCGTAACATGTCTTCTATCTACCAGCAGATGGTGTCTTCTATTCCATGTTTGCGAGCGAAAGCTACCATTGATTTAAAGGAGGTATTATCAAAAGCTCCCTATATGTCAAGAAATGCTCCTAGGACTATTTCTTGGCTTCTGAGTCCCCCCTCTATCTTGGTTACGAGATGATGCAGATCAGATTCACAAGATTTTCCTGATTGATAGGCATATTGGTTTGTATGAAATGGCCTCGCTCTATCAGAGTGGTTTGCCAGACATGCTAATCAATCAGTTTTTCTAATCTTTTCTGTTACAACTACACAAATACTGCTCCTTGTTACTTTCATGCAAATGGAAATTGTAAAAGTGGGTCCAGTTGCAGATACAATCATTCAGTTTTAGTTCCTGGAGGAACTATTTCTTAAGGAGAAGACAATGTCGTGCGAAACCCTGTTCTCTATTTAGGTTTACCGCGTTATAGAGTCTGACGGTAACCATCGCTGACCGTCCACCTCGAAGACTCAAGAAAGTAACTAGAATATTTCTTGTATGCACTTGACGCGTGGAGGACGTATTTTCGAGAACTTCCAGACTAGCATGGAACTTTTAGTCAGGGTTGGATCTTTCTAGACTGCTACAATTTTATATATAAGTGAATTTTTTTGAAGTTTAAGATGTTTCGATATAAATGTCGAATAAAGAAATTATTTAATAAATTAGTGTGAATTATAATAGTCTAAATAAATTAATTAGTTATTGGTGTAAATAAACTGTTTTAAACAGTTGTTACAATACTTTGGTGCATATTCCATTTCGTTAGCAGCTGACGGCCAAAATTAGCAGTGTGCTGTCCTAATATAAGGGTATAATAAAACATTTTTTATTTATTAATTTTTGTATTTAAAAAAAAAATTTAAATTATAAACTCAGAACACAAAAATACAATATTACCAGGATTTTAAGATTTTAAGAAAAAATATGGCAATATTTCAATACCAGCAGGATAATCTTTAAGAGTCATAGGTCCTTTGTAAGTTTTACCATTATTACCGTCCGTCCATTCTCCTTTTGGCAAGTATACATTTCTTGATGTTGCTCCTTGTTTGATTACTGGAGCTACTAGTATTTCCTCTCCAACTAGATATTCTGAAAATTCAAAGAATATTAAGTTAATAAAAACACATAGTTTGAATTAGTTAATTGAGCAATCTATGGACCTACAGATATACCGGAGAAAAATTAGACCTATTACAGTTTTTTTTTTTCTAAAAAATCTATTAGCTAGAAAAAATATACTTTACATACCAAAAAAAATTCTAATAAAGGTTAAAATGTTATTTTTAAAGAAAACAAAAGTTATTTTTCTAAAGTACTATTTTTTGTGATAGTAAAGAATATTTATATAATAGAAAAGAATGCTTTGGAAACTAAAAAGTAAATTTAGAAATAATATTTCTCTTCCCAAGATTTAATCTTTTACGATATCCTCAATATTTTACTGTCTAAAACAAGTTACTCACCATCATCACAAGCCAGAGCTTTCTTATCTGTGGGATCAATCCACCAAATAGGTGGATTTACTGGCGAACCCTTTTTTACACTTCGTTCCATGGCCTTTATAATGTTTGGAGCATACTTTTCATGCAATTCCACAAATTTTTGAACGATTTTTGGAGCATCAAACTGAAAGAATTGATTTATTAAATGAAAAAACTCGTTTAATTCTAGGGGTTAATTATTTTTAAAAAGTTAAAGGGTAGGAATAGGTACTTATTTATGTATACTATACGTTGCAGTGACTAACCTATTTATTAGTTCAATGGTTTTATATTTTCACTAAATTTTTATAACTAACATTTTATACCATTCATATTCATTCTACTCACACTTACTACCTCTAATTTTTCAGTCAAGAAAACATCGAATGTACTACTACTTCTTCTTCATACATACATGAAGATAATATTTGATTTTCCTCGTTTTACATTGATTTATGGAAAAAATGTAAAGTATGGGATACGACTATTGTTGATTTGGGTAATAATAGATAGCCAGTCTTTAATATTTCGTATGCTAAGAGACTTATGTGCTCATCTTTTTACTAAATTCTTCTTTATTTTTATCTACTGACCTTAATTAATATTATTTTAAATAATTTACACTCGAGTATTAGATAGTTTGTGGTTTTTTTGTTCAATGGTACAAAATTTTGTCAGTTTACTTTGCATCACACGAATCGGATGATCTACATATCTATTTTAATGTTATTCTGTGTTGTTAAACCTGATAATAAAAATAATATATTAAGAGAGATCCATCCTCACTGAGCATTGCAAACTTCAAAGAACATCTTAGGAAACTTGGACTAGGTTCTAAGACCACCTCAAAACACTTGTTTTAGTAATACAGTAGCCTAGCAATAATTTATTTTAATATACCACATTTTTTATTATTAATATTAATATCAGTTTGATATGTTAAAATCTTGGGAAAAGTTAAAAGGTCTACAAAAATAATGAAACTAATATCACGGCTGTGAATGTTGCAGACTGCAGACTGCAGACTGGAAACTAAGTGAATGAGTGAATGAAACAAAAACCTTACAGTGTCATTCGTGATTTCCCAAGGTAAATAACTGAATTGCATTGCCGGCATGAAAGTGTTTGCTTGTGCCCAACGAACAAGTAGTTCAGCATCTGGAATCGTACCATTATATCCATTTCCTCCTATCATATCAGGAAGAACCCTAAAAATAAGCATTAAATTTAATTTTTTAAATATATACATGAAATTTTTAATACGAAACATATATTTTACAATGAGTTGAACAAGGTTACAAAGTTACTTTGTTCTGGATTCTAGGACATAACGGCGTAGAGGACAATCAAATCTGACTCGCTCACTAAGAGAGAATCCAAACTTGAGTTTCTATGACCAGATATTACAAGTTGAAACATATTATTTAGTACTGTACCAAATTTCTGGTTAGCATATACGTGCTCATCAACGCCAGTGACAAAAGTTCACTGTTAGAAATAAGCCGATGTTAAATAAAAAAACATACATTGTATATCCATTCAGATTCAGCTGAAAGAGAGTGGTGATTAATGTGTAGAGTCCATTGTCTTCACCCCAGTTTGAATCCTTGTCAAGCATTCGAACAAATATTGGTAAATCTTGTGTTCTAAAAAAAAATTAAATGAGATAAAATAGAGCAAATAGTGAGTTATTAAAAATCTTTTCATTCTTTTATATTGTCAGGACTGTAAATTTAGAAAACATTTTCCAGCTTCCAAAACTGTCAATGTATTCAAGATGGTTCCTAAGTTGATTCTTCTTTTTTAATTGTGTATAGAGCTCATTAAAATAAACTACGTTTTTAAATACTTTTTCAAATAATTTTTTCCAATAACTTTTTCAAATAAGTTTTTCAAATAACTTTTTCAAATAATTTTTTTAAATAACCTTTTCAAATATATCTTTTTCAAATAGAACTTATTTAAATATAACCTTTTCAAACAACTCTTTTAATTCAAATATCTTTTTCACAAAAAATAAAAAAAGAAGAAACAAAATCATAAAGATTTACGTCTGGTGCAACTGGATTTTCACTTTTTAATTCTTTCTTGCATGGCCATCATACCCAAATCCTGGTGACTTTTTTTCTTATTTTTGAGTTTTATTAAAAAGTAATTTTTTTTATTTTAATGACGTCTATGTACTGTAGGGGTCAAAAAAACATGGAATTTGTGTGACGTAATTTATAGATGGCCCCTTACTATTTACAATATGTATGGTGAGGAAAGTTAAAATTGCTTCAGTACTGATCATTGAGATAGAATAAAGAGGACATGCTATGATTATGTTAAAGTGTCCGCACCTTTCTTTGATATCGACCTACTTGATTCCGAAGTAGTTAGTATGTTGTGTTGCCTACTTATGAGTACACAAGTTACATACTATTTAATTTTAATACTTATATGTCAGTATATAGTCTGTATTAAAATAACCTCTAGCTCTATTTTATCTATAAATAATATTAGACGTACGCCAAAGTTACTTCCCGCTTAAGATCGCCGATAATGTCAAATTATGACAGCCTGCAGAAAACATAAATTTTGCAGTTACTTACGATAGTGATCGTAGAAAAAATATTTAATGCTCTCCTCATGCTTATTTTACTGCAAAATTTTTCTATGTGCTTGGAAAATAATATTAGTTTATTACCTTGAAGCAGACCTAACTTCGATAAGTGATCCAAATTTAGCGCAAGTTCTGAGATAACGTTCACTTAAAATATCAGGGGTGTCCTCAATATCCGCATGTATAAAATTTGAAGGCTGAAAAAAAAAACATTTTTATAGAATACCCAACAAAGTTACAGCAGAACTACCCACAAACAGAAAAAAGCACATGCAATTAGATTTGCTGGAAATAATTTTCAAAATACCAATACAATCAGCTCCACTCGGACTATAAGGATTCTCTGTATCTATGTTAGAGGTGAGTACTTACACCTGATTTGATAAAACAATAAATTTAATGAAAATAGCCCTTCTTAGTGTATCAGTTTTGTCAAATGAGCTCATAGTACGGAGGGGAGCCCGGGGAGCTTCCGGGCGGGGTATGAAAAAAGTGTCCGGGCACTTATTTTTTTATTAAATGATAAGCAATAAATTGGCGTGTGCGCTAAAATTCCCGACCACCAAATGCTCCTTCGCCATTTTTTTAGTCGATTTTGCCAAACATTTCTAAATAGTACTGTAATTACTGTAATGCGAGCCATTTCATTATTCAGTAATCCTCCGTTTCTGTCTTATGTGGCCTTTGAGGCTCAACTTGTCTGATTGGCATACATAATTAAACCCCTTAAGACCTAACATATGTGACGAGCTGGGACATGTACGCAAACGCCCTAGGGTCCCAACAACGGAAGATATCACGCCGTAGGAAAATTAGAGCGGGTCGGCCGAGAAGGGGCAGCTTCGATCCGAAACCGTTCCAAAGACCATCTCATACTGATAGCCTCTTTGAAATGTCACGATGATAGTGTATACGTAGACGGCGAAGTAAATGGTAAAAAGTATACACTGTTGGTGGATATTGGAGCAACTAGGAGCATTATACGACCAATAACCATAAGAAACTTTTACCAACAAGATTGCGATTGCAGACTGCAACAGGTGAAAGTGCCAACATCCATGGGGAAATCCAGGTTCAAGTGGGAATTGGTACAGAAAAGTTCACTCGTACTGTTATTGTCGCTGATATCGAAGAAGATGTTATACTTGGAATGGATGTAATGAACTTACATGGCTTCCAGTTAGACTTTAAGAACAGAGTGATCAAAGTTGGTGCTGAAGAGGTATTCCTACATTCATATGGGGACAGTACCGTGCCAGTTGCTGTACAGGAGGATACGGTGGTACATGGCAGAAGTGAAACCGTTATAGCAGCATGGCTTCAAGAAACTATAGAAGAAGGAACACCTGTCATGATGGAACCTTGGAACCACGATAAAGAGGTTGGACGAGGAATTCTGATCGGAAGGGTTGGTCACGACTGCTAAAGAGATTACAGTTCGTCTTATAAACGTTAATGATCTCCCAATTACCATCAAGAAAGAGACCAAAATTGAAACTTGTGTACCAGTAACTTCCATAATTCGTCAGACAACAACTTCTGATAATTCCAGCAACAAATTTGACCAAATGATTGCAGTTGCTGGACAATATCTAAATTTATTAGAGAAAAAAAGGAATTTATTCGACGATATCGTGACATTTTTGTACCAAAAGGAGGAAAAACAGGAAGAACTGTTGTAAAACTCAAAATTGACACTGATGACGCCAGGCCGATTCGTCAGTCAGCTCGAAGATTACCAAAGGCCAAGAGGGAAGAAGCTGAAAGAATTGTTCAGGAAATGAAGAAAGACAGGGTGATAGAACCTTCTAACAGCCCATGGGTCTCTCCGGTAGTCCTGATCCAGAAAAAGGATGTAACTACGAGGTTCTGTGTAGATTACCATCAACAAAAAAAATGAAATTGAAAATGTTGTTTATTTCTGATGTAAAAAAATCCATGAATTGTTTTTACATCAGAGGAAGAAAACTGAATTTCACTCAAATGTTCGCGGGTTTTCAGGTTTTTGTCCGGCGTCGATAATTTAGGAAAAGGGGGGCCTAGTTACTACGGAAGTTATTTATGGTATTTTTAGCCAACTGATAACATCAATTTAGTCATGTTGGATTCGGATATTGTAGAAGACTATGTACCATCAAAAGTAAAATTCAGGCAACAGAAATAAGTGAAAGTGGTCACTGAAGGGGATAGGATAAGAAATGAAAAATAATAATAATTGAAATTGGAATGAATATTACTAAAGGGTTTATACATCTTGTAAGAATGGATAATAGTATAGAATTTTAGATAACCAACCGCTATAGTATAAATTTTTTTATTTGTGGGTGACTTATATGCGAGACATACATTATTGCTAGCCGACTACAGTCTAATCCGCAGTTCAGTCACCCTCAAATAAAAATTGTTACACTATAATCAATAGTTTACCAATATTTAAAAACTCACCTGTGGCGCGTAGTCACTTTCACCAGCATCAAATTTAAAGCTGTCAATTCCAGGATGTTCTTGAAGTTTTAACAGTCTACTTGACCACCATTTAGCAGCCTTGTCATATGTAAAATCAATTTGATAAGCAGTATTACCATCCCACCAGCTCCCAGTAGCATTTTCTTTGTTATCTTTTAAGAAGTAACCTAAAAATAAATTGAATTTTCTATCCACTAGGTTCTCACACTTTCGTTTTTACTTCCCTATTCCAGTAAGGAGAGTATAGTAATCATAATTGTTTTTGAGGGTTATTACGTTTTAGGGTCCCTTAAAACGGTTTTGATGACTTTCGCGATGATGGTACTCTATTGGTGGCCCATACTATCAAATATCAAAATAAATAGCGCTGACACAGATTCGAAGCTAAAGATCATCCGGTTTAAAACAATACATTTTCAATCTGGTATCCAGATACGGTGTCGCCATCTATTAGCAGTATCTAGATTAGATTAGGAGTTGGACGTTATTTGTCCTTGTCCACCGCGATCTTTTCAGATTTATTGTGGGACTCCGTTTGTTTTAGAGTATGTCGTCTAGCCTGGTCTAGTATCTATCTCGATCCAATAATAATTTCATAGATTGTACTACCGTTGTATGAAGATATCTTCATACAACGGTACTACTATGGTTAATTTTTAAACCAGGAGAAGCGAATTGAAAAGTTGCGTTTACATAGAGAGAAGTTACTTAAAAAAGGTACTAGATATTATTTTATAGCGATAAATTTGAATCTGACGTTTGTACCATTTGAAGCAAAGCGTTTTATTGAAAACCTGATTTAATTGATTTTAAATTATTAATAAGTAATTAGAAAGAACAAAACAAGAAATAAATACTCTAATATTTAACATTTTTAAAGTAATCGACCAAGATGTGTCAAATCATAAATAAACAAATGTCATTATTTGACATCTTGATCTATGTGAACTTGTCTGTCAAATAACCAATTAGAATCTAGCATTTGGTCGTGAAAAACTTAAATTGTTCCTCCTAGTTTAAAAAATGATAATAGTAGCTTTTCATACAACGATTATGTTTTGTCAGTATCTAATGTGTATCTCAGTAAGTACAGTTATATATTTATTTTCTAGAATACATTAAAAAAATATTCATTATGAACATTTTAACGACATATTTTTCATCTAGTATCTACACTGCAATAACCCAGCTGTTTAAATAAATTTTAATACTTTTTCTTATACCTATCACAGAGCAAGTTACCTTCTTTTAGTCCTATATCTGCGTTATCTTGACAATCACTATTAACGAAAGGATGGACCCATAAAGTTACTCTAAAATTAAGTTTTTTTAATTCTAAAACAGTATTTCCTATATCCGGAAAAGTAGTGGTTGAAAATTCTTGGGCTCCGTAGCAAGTCTGAAAAAGTTGAAAAGTAGGTAATCTTGATTTTTTTGGAAAGTTTTGTACTTTATTTTTATGTTGTTTAAGTTTTTTAGGAAAAGAATATGTTCCCTAATTTATATTTTTTTTTAGTTTGCATCTATATTTCAGCCAACCATCAATAATTGATGATAATTGACTTGAGTTTTTAATAAAGACAAATTGATTCTGCATGCGCCTGTCTGTTCCATTGATTTTCTATTTTAATTTTTTGTTTATAAAATTATATTTTTGTAGACATTTTTTATACTTGATTTATATTATTTTATATTCCAACTTACCTCCCAGTTATCATCTATTTCAAGTTGACCTTTTTTATATCCATGGTTTCTTATATCATTGGCGAATTTAATAACTGTTTTGTCATTTATTTCTTTTTTGTATTTAGCCCAAGTCGTCCATATTGGTTCAGTTATCATCCCATCATGAGGGTGACCTATTAAAATGATTACCAATCTATATAAATGAATACATTTACAAAAAAAATAATACCTATTTTACGAGTTATAGATATATAAGAACTCTGAAGCACTATATTATGAAATGATATTAAAAGAAAAATTGATTACTATATTTACTAATGTATTGTAATAATTTTAAATTTTCAATAAAAAAAATTAACAAGAAATTGGTCAAATGTAGTTTATACCAAATTTAAATTTATTTTTAAATTTGTAGCTCGAAGTTCTATTGAAAATTCCCAATTATTACACACATTTCACTGAGTATAATAGTATAATAATATTTTTAAGTGGAATGTCATTTAAATTTGTGTTGCCAAATTCTCTATTATAAAAAAAATCTCAAAACTAGAGAAATTTATAATCGGTCAATTTAAACGGTTTTTTTTCATCCTTTTAAGCATCCCTCTACTCGTCCTAAGGGAATCCGTCAGACTCTCCCCAATCAGGCTTCAGTCTAGCCACTGGATTCCCTCAATCAGGCTTGTGGTCCAGTCTGCTTTCCCTCCTTTTGGGGTTCGCACAGCGGCACTGAAGCGTCTATTGTACCACCATTTGGATGCCATACTCCTTTACATTCATCAATTTAAACGTTACTATCATTATATTTTAAAAATCAGGCCCAATTTTGGATGAATATACATGTTAACCCATTAGCAGGGACGTATTTATAACTTTTTAAAGGGAGATTGACACATAACTGCAAGGGCGGCTCTATGGGGGCCATGCCCTTACAATTCATCAGCCTTTTATTTAAAAAAATATATTAAATAGGAAATGGCTAATGGCAATGATCCCTCCCCCCCTAAAATTCCCTAAACCCCGCCCTTATATACGTCGGTGCCTATTATAAGAAATATGAAAAAAAATTTAAATGAAAGTTGCATATTTATGAAGAATTACTTTGAAATATACAAGATATTCAGTTACAAACGAATTTATTAAATGTCAGTTTTTTTAAATAACTCACTAAGTAATTCATTCCTTCAAATTATATTTTCATAAATTATAGTGCAGGGCCTAAAAGTACTACACTTACAGACTTAAAATTCGATCCATTCAAAATAATGATTTATTTAAAAATGCCCTAACTTTCAAATGCGGAGGCTGATTTATTTGAATTTTTTAGCAACTTTTAGATAAAATACTGTAGTTTTAATATTATTATTTGGACATCTAAAAGTAATTTAGTACTCGCCGGATATACAGGGGGGAAAAGAAAACAATTTTTTCCTCTACTTTTAACACGCCCTGTAGGTTAAATCTGCTAGTAGATCTGCACACAATTAACTTTATCAAAAAGTCTGATTTGTTTTCAACATTTTGTTTTTTATTTACCCCGATATCTTAATTTATTTGTGAAATGTGACGATTTAAAAAAAAATTTTCTTAATTTTTTTATTGTTTGAGCAGAGTAATGCATAATTTTATAAACAAATCAAACAACAAATAAACTAATAATTATTACAAATTAATAACGGGTATTTCCCCCACGAGCGCGAATAACTGCCTCAATGCGTCATAGCATATCCTCTATTAGATGTCGAATCTCCATCTGGTCAATCTGATCCCATTTTTGGACCAAAGCATCTCTCAAAAAAATTTAAATTACTTGGAGAAGGAACTCGGCTATGAACTCGTCTGCCCATCATGTCCCAGACGTGCTCAATTGGATTGAGGTCTGGGCTACGTAATGGCCAGTTCATCCTTTGAATTTCTGTTTCGTCCAAATATTGAGATGCAATCCTTGCAATATGTGGTCGAGCGTTGTCATGCATAAACATGAATTCGTTTCCTATAAACGATGCAAATGGAATTACATGTGGATCTAGCACATCACGAATATATCGGTTAGCTGTCATTGCTCCGCCGCCAAAAATGACTAAATCAGTACGAGCTTCCATGCTTATGTCGGCCCAAACCATTACCGATCCTCCTCCATGACTAAGTCTTGTGGAAAAATTTGCTTGGTCAAACCTTTCGTTTCTTCTTCGGTATATTCTTTCACGGCCATCAGGAGAACGTAAACAAAACCTTGACTCGTCAGAAAATAAAATCTTACTCCAGTCATCGACATTCCAATGTTGATACTCCCTGGGAAATCGAAGACGTGCTGTTCTGTGATTCCTAAGTAACTCTGGACCAGTTGCAGGTCTTCTGGAGCGTAATCCATGTTCTCGTAATCTCCTTAGAATGGTTAGTTAGTTAACAGCTACTTGACGTACTTCTTCTAAACGATTTCGAGCCATGACAGCAGTAGTATTTCTTTCTCGCAAAACATTTAATGTTACAAAACGATCATCTCGAACATTTGTAGAACGTCGTCTGCCAGATCCTCTTCGTCTCGAAAAACTACCAGTTTCATTGAAACGCTACATCTTGTAACACCCAATATTCTAGAAGCATAATACTGAGACCTACCGTCTTGTACCAGAGCAACTGCTCGTGCTGCATCAGTAGGCGTTAAAACCATGATGTTATGCTGATAATGAACATTTGTTATGCTGATAATTAAACTGCAATTGCATTTAAATTATGACCGTTTCTAAAATGTAGCATTTTCTTTAAACCGTCACATTTCACAAACAAATTAAGATGTCGGGTAAATAAAAAAGCAAAGTATTTTGAAAACAAATCAGTCTTCTTGATAAAGTCAATTGTGTGCAGATCTACTAGCAGAATTAACCTACAGGGTGTGTCAAAAGTAGAGGAAAAAATTGTTTTCTCTTCTCCCCTGTATATGCGGCGAGTACTAAATTACTTTAAGATATCCGAATAATAATATTAAAACTACAGTATTTTATCTAAAAGTTACTAAAAAATTAAAATAAATCAGCCTCCGCATTTGAAAGTTAGAGCATTTTCAAATAAATCATTATTTTGAATGGATCGAATTTTAAGTTTTGAAAATGTTCATTTTAATTGGTAATACATAATACAACGTAAAAATAATAGTTGTTTCTTTCAAGTAGGCTGTGACATTTAGTAATTGCAATAAATAAATAAATAAAAATCATAATAAAAAACAATCTGTCACATAATTTCGTATTTGCTGAAATGATAGTGTTTCAGTTTCACAATTCTGGAAATTTTTAAAATCTTTTGATATTAAATAGTGTTTTCACACATCAAAAAAATCAGATAAGAATGCTACAAATATAAAATAAAATATATACCCGTTGGTTTGCCCAAATATGTGTTAATTGCATGCAGATGTGCTTCCTTGGGATCATTTTTTAAAACAATATTGTAATCTAGGAAATACTGAAACAAAACAGATTATTAAAGATAGAATTAAACGAAATAATATAGAAAAGTACACTAGTTTATTTTATTATGTGCCAACATTGCTATATTCTAAATCTAAACTAAAATAAATTATTAAGAGTAGTCCAAAAATCATTATTGAGTTCCACAGTGAAACCCAAGAAAGTAATTTTGATTTATTTGTGCAAAAAAATATCAAAAATGGAAGAAGAATTTTCCATGAAAGAAATTGCAATACAACTTTTTTATGACACTTATCTTAATATTATTGAAACATGTCAAACCACTCAAAATATTAAAATTAAAATCCATAAAAAAATAAAGCCATGAATAACAATTGGTTTAATTAATTCTATTAAAACTAGGGATAAACTTGAAAAAGATCTACAAAAAAAACTATACTATTAACAAACAAACTCACTATAAAACATTTAGAAATAATTTAAACAAACTAATATCAAAAACTAAAAATAAACCAAAATAAAAATGATCTGAAAAAACTTATCAATTAATCTCTGAAGCAACTAATGAAAATCATAAAAAAAATAATTCCAATTTACAGATTGTTAACCAACATAATGAGGAATTATGACGAATTACTGCAATAACTACTTTTCGACTATTGGTACTATGTTCACACACAAATATCCCTGAATGTAATGTGGATTTTCCTGTGTCATTGAAAAATGAATGTTTCTGAAACCGATATGCGAAAACGATATTATAAAACACATAAATAGTTTAAAAAACAATAGTGCCCCGGAATTTGATTGTATAACAGTAAAACATCTGAAACTACTACATTCGTATTTACTGGAACCTTTAATGCATATAATTAATTGTATTTTTAATACAGGAATCGTACCTAAACAATTTAAAACTTCAATTATAACACCTATTTATAAAGCTGGTAATCCAAAATTAATAACTAACTATAGGCCTATTAGTTTAATTAGTAATGTGGCCAAAATATTTGAGAAATGTGTGAAAGATAGACTGACAGATTTTTTAAAAACTAATGACTTACTTCCCAAGCTTCAATATGGCTTTACTGAGGGTCTTAACTCAGGAGATGATATGCATGAATTGATTTCATATGTTACTGACGAAATAAATACTAGTAACAAGTGTATAGCTATATTTCTAGATCTAGCACATGGTGCCACATCAGAAACTCTTAAATGTTCTTGAACATAATGGAGTGAGGGGCATCGTGTTGAAGGTGTTTGAAAATTATTTAACACACAGACAACAGAAGGTAAAGGTCAGAGACAATGTGAGTAACCCTGAAAATATACAAATCGGAGTGCCTCAAGGGACTGTTCTGGGACCTATACTATTTAATTAAGTTATATCATATGCTGATGATACAGTACTAGTCTTCAGTGATAAAGATTGGGGAGCCGTCAAGACACGTGCTATAGCTGGAATGGAACATGTCAAAAACTGGCTGGATGTTTTTAAATTGTCTTTGAATGTTAACAAAATAAACTACATTGCTTTTTCAAAGACAGTGGTTGATCGACCTCGATTTAGAAGCTTAACATGTCAAAATTTATACATATAGGAAACAGAAACATCCAAATATTTAGGTATAATTATAGACCAGCACTTAAAATGGTACTGCCATATAATGTATAAAGCAAAAAACTTAGATTTCTGATTTATAAATTTTATCTTCTAAAACAATTTCTTAACCAGGACCTACTAATAACATTATACTACAGTCTAGTACAATCTATACTACGGTATGGAATCTTAGTATGGGGAGGCCTGTATGGAACTACATTAAATCAGGTAAATGTTATTCAAAACAAAATCTTGAAGTTAATATATAAAAGAGATAGATTGTGTCCCACCATAACTTTATATAATGAAAAAATTAGCAATGTTAGATGTTTATAGATTCACGCAGTGTTTGTTATATACAAAAAAATGCATTTTTAAAAAACCATTTAGAACAGAACTACGTCGAACATGTGCATTAAATTCCCAAAACCAAATAGTGAGTTTTTTAAAAACAGGGTCAGTTATCTAGGGACAAAGTTCTATAACGCTCTACCTCTTCATATAAAATTATTAAACAAATATAAAAAACGTTTTTTTTTCTTTATTTCCTTTATAATTCATTAAATATAATTAAAATAAAATTTTAATTTTTGTCAGCACATACAGGTGTTCTCACCTAGGTGCTTGTTATTATATAATTGGTTTCCATTATTGTACTTTATTGTAACATATTTATTATTTTAACTCATTGTAACTTATAATTATTAACTATTTAGAATATAGGCTTGTTTCTAGCTGGTGGCTGGACATGGACATAGGATGAAATAAAATAACTACATATTCTTCTTACAAATCAGAAATTCTTCATTAATTGTTGGCCTTTTACAACATAACCCGTTTAGTAACTTTTTGTGTAACATATATACCATGTTTCAGAAATATTTTCAGTGAAATGTTTAACTAAAATATTTCAGAAATATTTCAGAAACTCGTGCGTGAAATGTTATATTTTTGAAACGTTTGAAATATTTCTAAAACACTCCTGAAATAATGTGTGCTGTATGGGTAAGTAAATAAATAAGAATGATTTAATTTTATACACTCACCTGTTCTCTATTAACATATGGTCCGGCAAGTTTAGCAATAAAACATACTTTGTTCTTGTGTTTAACATTTTGGTCAACAAATAAAGGTACCTTGGAATTAATATAAATATACGCTCCTTTAGAATTTAGCCAGTACCTTTCAGCAACACCAGAATTGTCATCTCGTCTTAAAACATAAGGTAAATCACCTGATATTTTCAGTTTTTGGATTGGCCAACTTTGCACTCTCCTTTGTGGCCCTCCATACCATTCTACACCATCTTCTAATTCAAAACAATCCTGGAAGGCACCTGTTGTATTTGGTGCTTTCCATATTATTCTAAGACCATCCCTTTCAAGAGTTGTTTGTAAGGTATATCCATCATTAAGTTGGCATATTGGTTCTCCGATGCAATTTATTTTTGAATAATCCTGGGAAAATCCTAGTGTTCCTACTACTTTACTGATGTTGCCTGATAAAAAAAAACAAACATTTTTTTAGATAAAAAATTAAGTTGATTTAAAAAGTCTAGCAAAATTTAGGTCATTCACTCATTTAATTAAATAAAAAATGTAAGGTGTCAAAAAAATAATTTGCCCCATGGCACTTAGGCCTCATTAGGCCTATTGTGAATCCCCCTAAATCAGCTAGCTTACAGATTTGATGTAGTTGACAACGTCGCCGAGAGGTACAACTCTTATATCAGCCGGTGGTTGCCAATATTCGCAGAACACAAATATTCTAATAAAAGAGAGCAGGCAATCGTGGAGGATATGCTCGATGTTTTCATCTTCTCATTCTCACCCCCTGCAGATTACGGATTCTGACAGTTCCATGCTATGGAGATACTTCTGTACTTGGCAATGACTAGTCAGAATGCCTATGCTCAGGCGGAGATTTTGTCTAGTATTTGTCTAGTACACATCTTCATCTTCTTCTTTAATATCATTATATTGCTCGGTATTATTAGTGTCCAAACCATGGTAAAATTCGTGATATATCTAGGGTATAGTGACCCATCAAATGCGCTCCGACAAATGCGCCCCAGGCATATGCCCCTCACAAAATTAATTTCGAATGCAGATTTCATCTGTGTCAAAGTTGGTTTAAAAAAAATGGCTCCAGGCCTCAACGGTTATGTAGTTTAGTTAAATTTTTTCTTTAACTTCCCTTATTTTATGTATATTTTTTGCGAAGCAACCTGCGATGGATCCAGGCCGTACAGGTTAGGTAAATTGGTTAGTTTTTTTATTAGAATACTAGGAAAATATTCATATTTTCTTTGATATATTTTACACTCGCATGAATAAGTAAAGAATTTTAATGAATAAAAGTATAAACACAGGAACTACTTTGGCATCTGATTTTAAGGTTTTATGGTCCAACTACCGCTTGGGTCACTATAATTTTAAAATGATGTCACGAACTGATTGTGGCTTGACTTACAGTGACTATATTCTCTTGTTAAAATCACTGTAACAGGCCTTACAGTGGCTTTATGTCATTGTAGCTGGACTGTGTTTTCCGTAGGCCATCTATTAAAAAATAGGGGAAGCTCATTTGGGCCAGTCTAATTTTAAAATTGAGGGAAATATACACACGTTGCATAGTGTACCACAAATAGCGAAATTTTGCAGATAGGCCACACTGGCGCTAAGTGACTTATTTGTAAAGAGAGAAACTATTAAATAAATATATATATTTACCTGTGCTAGCTGTCAATTTAATTCCTTTCGTTGTCGGATCTAGATCAAAATTAATGCCTTCTCCATTAAGTTTTATTGAAACTGCAGTTCCTAGGGTAATGATGACTAATAAGGCACAAATTAGTCCATCTAAAAACATAAATACAATTAACAATTTTGTGAAAAGTATTTTAATATTTAAACTTTAATTTCTTTATTTCGAAAATAAAACACGATGATAGCCTATATCTACACCACTGGACGCGGATAATCGTGTTACTCTACAAACAGCTCGGTACATTTTAAAGGATACTTTTCGAAAGAATGTACTCAGAAACATAGAGTCGTTAAAATAAACAACTTTTTTAAATAAATTTTTTAACAAAACTCAAAAATAAGGAAGATTCAGAATTAAAATATTTAAATCCGGCTCTGGAATTTTATTTTAAAATTTATAGTCGGTTTCAAACCTTTGTGAACCTTATCAATGTGAGGATCAGCCAGCGGCGTGGATAAAAATATTTAAATACAAAACAAAAATTTAAAAATGTGTTTTAATATTTGGCAATATACAGGTCGTTCCTTAATAACATGCTAATATTTAAGTGGGTGATTCTTTGACCCATTTAAAAAAAAATACATGAATGTATGTCCTAAACGTCTTAACTTTTGAGATACAGGGTGTTAAAGTTTTAAGAAAAAAATCAATTTTTCAATGTCATTTTCAAACCACTTTTAATATTTTTAAAAATTTGGTGTACGACGTTTATGCATTCAAGAGAATTTTTTGAACTAAAACGCATTTTTGTATTTTATTTCCAACAGTGGCGTCTGTACTGGAATCAGACTAGATATTTTTGAAGGAAAAAGTGAATCGTACGAAAAAAGTCAAGAAATCAAATTTGTTCTAAATTGAACGAGGAATCCAAAAATAATTTTTATTTTAAGAGAAAGCAATGGCGTACCACTTAAAACTTTAACACACTGTATCTCAAAAGTTAAGACGTTTAGGACATACATTTATATGAGGTTTTTTTCTTAAAATGGGTCCAAGAATCACTCCCTTAAATATTAGCATGTTACCATAAAATTATAAATGGACCTGTATATATTTATAAAACGCTACTGAATTTATTATTTTTTGTTTCAATTTTAATTGATTATAGATTTATCTTGGGTTTTTTATATTTTTAAAACTATTATTTCTAAGAACGAGTTGTAGTATTTCGAAGCGTTCTCTGTCGTCCGGTTTTGCTATTTCCGGTGTAGGGATTTCGGTCAGATATTTACATTTTTCATCGAAATTCGGGACATAGCTTACAGAAAATACTTGCAAAGGGAGTTTTTATTGTTATATAGACGTCTAGAAAAAGCAAATATTTTATTGCCACCAAAAAACGAAAAAGTTCATCATGATACAAAAAAGTGTTGCCTCCTATCTTATCACTCTTATCAGAGACACAGTTCCGTATTTTAATAACGATAAAATAGTAAACCATCTCTACACTTGATGATAAAGAGAAATTAAAAAATGCAACGATAGAAATATATAAAGAATGTAATATAGAAATTGCTTCGCAAAGCTACAAAAAGAACAACTTAAAAACAATGAAGGCACAATTATTTCAAAAACCTTTGTATCTACCACTAAGTTTAAATGAAAAAATAATTATTACTTACTGTGAATTCGTAACATATTGACTCTGTTGTAATATAACCTTTATTCGATTGTTTAAATAGTGAAGTCTTATCTAATAATTTTTATACTTTTGATGTACTTAATGAAAATTAATTTATAAAGAACATTTTGAATCAAATATGTTTACATTAGATACTTTGAGCACTATTAGATATTAGATAAAATTGTTATTGGTTGTAAACACTCGGTTATCATTTATTTATTTATTTGTAAACCACTTAATGCTGCTACAATACAAAGTGTTCTTTGAACAAATGTCATGATATAATGTGATCTATATATAACTTGACATATTGAAATTGTAATACGGAAAGCATAGCAATTTTTATACTTCTTTTAATTATTTTTCGCGCAGAAAATCAACAGTAAAAATAAAAACAGTAAATTATAATGAAATTAATTATTCAATATTTTTCTGGTATTCGCAGTACGTCATTGAAATATTGATAAGACAAGAAGAATGTAAATAGTTTGCGATTATAAGCCATGGAACAATATACGCTGATCGAATAACGAATTAGTTGTAAAAATGTACCTACTTTAAACGGCAAACGCAGTAGGTATATTAATTAATGGGGCTTTATATTATTGTATTTTTAAGTTAGAATTCGATATTTTAACACGTTGAGTGCCACGCCTGACGTGCTATTCCAAAAAGTTAATATTTTAAATTAATTAAACACTCATAAATTGAGGCAAATGTTTGATAAAACCATCCCTAAACGAAAAATTATTATTCTTTTTAATATTAAAAAAACTGACGCGGTCACCACGTGCTTTCTAAACGGTTTTACATATTGCATTCATTGTGAAAATCAACCACATTATTGTTAAGAATATTTTACAGCAAGTCACAAATACTAAAACATATTTGCTACTTATTTTGACTTACTTATGACCTGTATGTTTTTGTGTGTGTTAGGCCGGGACTATACATAGCGTTTTACCGGGAGCTTTTTAGTGGGACCCGTTTGGCGGGACAGGTGCAACACATTGTTTTAAATGTGACAGAACAGCAGGTGTATAAACGGCGCCATTTAAAACAATGTGTTGTACCTGTCCCGCCAAACGGGTCCCGCCAAAACGCTCCCGGTAAAACGCTATGTATAGTCCCGGCCTAAGTGTAGGAATTTCCTTACATCGATAGGTAGTAACAAAATCGGACGACAGAAAATGCTTACAAATTGATTTGTCTAGAAGCAAATTATTTCATTGCCAGCAAAAAACGAAAATATACATCGATAAGAAATATTATATTTAATGTGACAGGTTACATGACAGCTCTCATCAGCGAGACATAGTAAATGTTGTTCACCCCCTCCCCTGTACCCAACTACAAATGAATCGGTCATTTAAGAAATCCTATAAGTCACAAATTTGATATATTCCAAAAATGGAGGATTCTTATTGCTAACACTTCGGTGCACATTCCAACGAGAAATTCCATTATTCGTAACACTTCTTGTATTAAATTTTCAAACGTCAAAATCTGCTTTATTCGAGGAACCCCATAAATCGCTGACTAATGGTGTTTCTCTAATACACGCGGCACACGAGCTAATACAATCAGCTTGGCAAATTGTGAACTGTTAAATAATGTTGGAAATATCTGTGTGCGGTCCGTAGGGATGGAAGGACCTTCAATTTTAACACATTGTTGTTTAGGGATATAATAAGTAAAGATCCGGTCCTAGCACACTGCCTTGTGGGACACCTGCTTTAATTTCTTTCATTTCGGAGTATGCCTCGTCTTGCTTTACTCTAAACATTCTTCCTGTTAGATGTGATTGTAGAATGTCGACATATTTTCTAGGGAGCATTTTTTCAAGTTTCTGTATCAGGCCAGCGTGCTAAACCTTGTCAAATGCTTAGGCTACGTCAAGAAATATAGCTGAGCATATATATATTTCTTCGTAAGCTTTTTCGATGATATCGACTATTCTGTGTACTTGATCTATTGTCGAGTATTTGTTTCTAAAACCAAATTGATGCGAAGGGATCAGATTTTAATTTTCAATTATTGGTTTTAGTCGTTTTAGTAGTAGGTTTTCAAATAACTTATATATTATCGGTAACAATGATATAGGTCTATATGATGATACTTCATTCGGAGGTTTTCCTGGCTTAGGAATTAGGATAACTTCAGCCATTTTCCACGCCTCAGGTATATATTTAAAGCGAAATGCTGCATTTATGATGTATGTCAATTTAACAATAGCCTTCCGTGGTAATTTCTTTAATATTTCTCCAGTAATAAGGTCATATCCTGGGGCTTTCTGTGAGTTGATGTTTGTGTGAATTTCTTTCGTAACTTCATTGGGAGTAACTAGCCTAATTTTAAGTTGTTCCATATTATAGATCGTCTCATTAGGAGTGTCTTGATTTTCATCTAATTGGAACGTCTTTTGAAGGTGGTCAGTGAAAATATCAGCTTTTTATTGATTGTCCCATTTGTCATCTGCTATTCTGATAGGACAATGTTTTCACGAATTTTTTATGTGTTTAGTTGCCTTCCAGAGCGAATAATCAGTTTCTTTATCATCTGTTAGCCCTATCTGTTAAAGGATTCTTCTTTGTGATTTATTGTTTAAATTTATTGTTTAAATAAATTAAAATAATATCAATGAGAAACCCCATAAGTCATGATTTTCAAAAAAATATTTTGGAGCCTTTAGAAAAAAAGCACAATTTGTTTTAATACTATCAAATAGTAAACCACTCTAGCAATTTTAGAAAAAAAATAAATGCTCACACACAGACGATTTAAGAAAGTTTTTTTAATTTCCTTAACTTTTACTTTTCTGACTTATGGTATTTTTCAAATGACCGATTCAAATAGAAAGCAAAAAACACATACCACTTTTTGCAGTCAGATGAAGGACTATTTAGAGACATTTTAGTTTGTGCTTTTACAAATTAAAAACCAATTTAAAGTTCACTTTAAAAGCTATGTACGTGGGCAATGGGACACAATTAACAAATACAATTTTTAATTTGTGTTTTATTGATTAGTTTTATCTATAAAATAAGAAAATGTAATTATTTTAGATTATACTGCTAAATTTTTATTTATTTAAAATGTAAAAATGTAACGAATTAAAACAGAGTAGATTTTCATTCGGATCAAAAAATGAACTTCAATCACTTGGTGGTGGACATACACTGTTCAAAATTTTCACCGCCAGCTTCAATGTAAGCATCAACTCATTTTTCATATTTTCAAACATCGGTTACATCTTGAATTTCATTTAATATAGCCTTGCTCCAGTTCACAAACATGCAAACGTGTTTTGGGGTTTACACCGACGCTTGTGAGCACGCTACCCCCAATTTCCAGAAATTTAGCCCGAATACTCTGGTGTTCCAATTAGAGATAGGAATCTTTAACGAGCTCAACATCCAAGGACTCAGGACCGACATCTTTACACCTTCTCCTAAAGATAACACACCCCACGCTATACCTCGTAGTCATTGACATAACGCCTGCCCGCTGTGGTATACAATTACGTGAAAAGTTTGCTCAGACGTACGTCGACTTTCATTGAGATGGACATTCATCCAACAACTAACTGCGTTCAGCATGGCTTAGCTTGACTGCAGATATCGATACTTGGTAGCTGGACCGCTGCCCTAGATCTAACTGTATGAGCTGTTGCTCCATATTGCTGAAAATAACCCATTTGTAGCTTAATATCATGTAGCTGATCAATAAATTCACGAAAAATATTTCTATATCGTTGGGAATTAATTATTGTGCCATAGAAAATATTGGTCCTCCTCTTCTTCTACTTGAAATTGCTATCCAAACACCAACTTTTTTTACTTGAACAAGTATTTGTTTATGATGACGAAAAGTATCATTATTGTAACATTTATTTGTTTTAAACAGTAATTTATCTCAAATATTTATTTTCTATAACAGTACAATTTATATTTTAAATACTTATACACGTATTATACTAATTTATATTCACAATTTATCTTTATACATCGATCTCTTGCTATAAACTGAACTCAAGCGGTGCTCTAGGCAACTCCAGGCCTCTCACGTAGATTCTAGATTCTTCTCGATAACCTTGCTATACGAATTGACACGTGCACTTTCTGGTATTTCTTGTAGCAGCCTAAACGACAACACATCAATTAGACGCACCAGCGACAACGGTGGCAGGACCGGACTGATCGAAAATGGCTCGCACGACAATATTCTATTTGTACACTTGGAAAAATTCCTTAAATTAACTGACTATAACTATATACAGACCACAAGAAACAGGACACAAATTAATGTGAAAATGTGCTCCATAATAATAAATAATTTGGTACTTGTAGTTTTTATACAAAATTGAATACAAAAATTCTTTTAACATTATAATTATATCATCATTAGCTATTTACTGACATGACAGAACGATAACCTTTGACCAACTAATCATTATTTTCGAAAACATTGGTTGTTTCAATATATTAATTTTATTATTCAACCAAATTTAGTACGGAAATAATATTCATTAACAAAAAATGTATGCGTTAAAAAGTTACTTTTTAACTTGGTGTTGTTTGTTCCATGTTGTTTATTCAGCTACATCGGGAAATATACAAGATATTAAAGCTAGATTAGATAATATAAATAACAGGAACCGTCAACCAGGACAAAATGTTAATCCAAATTATGGAAACCAACAGTAAGTAACGAGTCAATATAATTGTAAATTTTGGCAAAGAATGTGCTTTGTTACACACAATACTTTTACTCGTTTTTTTATTAAAAACAAAAGCTGTTTGTGTATGAAAAGCGGAAATTTATCGTAAGCTGCAGTCAGCTTTCCGCACGAATTGTTTTTTCTACGATCACAATGATACATTACCAGATTCAAATTTTACTAAAATGTTTATTTGACATGCACCGCTAATTTAACTATTGAAGCGTGTATTATGTGTTGCCTACTTACGTGGAGATTTATATGATCAGCGTAAAAAATATTTGTTTAGTATATTCTTCCAAAATCGGTTAAATACTCTAATCGCAAAGTGTTTTGATTACACAAATAAAAAATTAAGAAAAAAATTTACCCAGAGGCACTGGGTTTGAATATTAGATGTTAAAATATTCAAATAAGTCTACATTTTGTTTTAAAATATAGCTTTATGTCTTTTATTTACTGCAAATGAAAATAAGAAAGCGACAAAGTAACTATAGTGCTCTAGAACACAAATAATGTCAAATTATGACAAATTGCGAAAAACGTCAACTTTCCAATTAGATTTGAATATGCAAAAACCTACTTTGCATAGTGATCGTAGAAAAAATATTTTTTTTACTGCCATATAGTTAACCCCGGTAAGATGGTCACCATTTTAGATTTGTTTGT